GAAGATACTGGAACCAAAGAGGCACTTCTGACCATTCCAAGGGAAGAGTCTCAAAAAATTTGTTAAATTCTGCAATCCATATGAAATAGTATCTCTCTACGATTTTTTTGTGGAGAAGTCTGGACTTATTCTTCTATATTTATCCCATACTTTTAGTAAATGATTTAAAATTGAGTAATCTTTGATAGCTTTGACATTTCTATTTATATCCAACCAAAGATATTTATGCAAGCCTTTTGGGAGTCCTGCTCTTTCAACAGAAGGAACCTGGCCTTATCCTGAGATCCAATATGTAATCCAAATTAGACAACTGATTGATAATGTAGTTTGAGATTTTGTACAGTCTGTCCACCTCATTCATTCATGTGTTACAAAATCCTAAGTTTAATCATCAATCTTTACTTTGACTAAATAAAGTTAGTTGTCTTTGTCAATCACTTAATATCTTTTCAACAATTCTTATTGGAATCATTTGAAATAGAAAGTTGATCTCTAGTAAAATATTATTTTTTATTATTGATATTCTTTCCAACCAAAACAAATTGAACTTTTTCAGTTATAAGATATCTGCCCTTATATTTTTCCAAGTCTCTGAGTAGTTATTTTTGAATAAGTCTCTATTATATTTTGTTCAATAGTACTTAATCAGTTGAACAGTGATATAAGCCTGTAATTTGTGGCAAATGTTGTTTTTCCTCTTCAGATAAATTCAGTGTAATCATTTGTATCTTGTTCTTGTTAATCCAGTATTATGATACTGAATCATAATGCTATATATGTCCCATTACTGGTTCTAAAGAGTTCAACACTATCATCATATATACTTTTAATGTATGTTCTAGATTTGCCAATTTGGTTTCTGAAACTTTATTCTCTTGCCATATCTTCCTTGTCAATGATTTTAATGCCAAAAAAAAAAAATAAAGGAGAGAGGGGACAACCTTGTCTTGTCCCTTTTGTTATAATATATTTTTGTAATAAAAATTGATTTATGATCTTAGCTTCTTGTTCATTGTAAATATTCTCTCCATGTGAGAAAACTTGATATGCAATTAACCTTCTTCACAGTCATGAATATGAATAGCCATTTCAAATTATCAAATCCACCTCAAGAAAAATCAGACCTGTTTTTCTGATTAAACTTATCATTCAAGATATATCTGATATTGTCTCTCATATATTTCTTCAGGACAAATCCAGTCTGATCAGGATGAATTAGATCAGTTAAAAGGCAATTTTACTCTTTACAAGTATAGCTATGAAAAGTTTACAGACTATATTCAATAAAGAGGTAGGCCTATACAACTCTGGATGAATTGGCTCACTCCTTTCTTTGTAAATCAAAGAAATAAAAGCCTCTTGCCATGAAGAAGAAAATGCTTAACATCGTATCTTATTCATGACCTGAGTTAATGACCTTATCTGCACTATATGACAATGGGAAGAATTATGGATTAAATCTATAAAATTTACTCCAAGCTACAACTTAAACAAAAATTGGTACAAAATGTTTTACAGATGGTATACAACTCCATCAATAATCTCCAAGGTAGATAAATTATACAGTAATAAATGTTGCCTTGAAGCAGAAAAAATATTTTACCACATGTAGTGGACATATAAAAAATGTACAAAGTACTGGAAAGTTATACATAGTACTGTACAACGCAGAACATTTTGGAAATTAAATTTGAAATGAAACCACAATTTTTCTTACTAAGCATACAGGTAGTCCTCACTTACCAACCATTTGTTCAGCAACTATTCCAAGTTGCGATGGCACTGAACATGTAGTACTTATGACTGGTCCTCAAAGTTCTGGCCATCGCACCACCCCTATGGTCACATAATCACAATTTGGGAGCTTGGCAACCAGCTCACACTTACAACAGTTGCCCTGTGGTCATGTGATCACCATTTGCAACCTTCCTTGCCGGCTTCCCACAAGCAAAGTCAATGGGGAAGCCAGCAGGGAAGGTTACAGGTCATTCTGATAAGTTCCCCTGGCCTCCCTGCACTCATGCCAAGCTGTGGTCTCTTTCTTCTGGCCTCCTTATGCTCATGCTGAGCCTCACCATGCTTCCCTTAGCCTCCCTGTGCACACTCACCATCAGGCCTCCCAGGGCCTCCCCCCCACATGGCACCTCCCCATGGCAGCCCCATGGTCCTTACCTGGGACTCCCACTCTTCCCACTTAATGACCTACAAATCCAGGTGGTACTACAGCAACTGGGACTGCCTGGATTGTCATCCAGAATTTCTTTCGTATAAACTAGATTTATACAAGAAAGAGAGAGAGAGAATGGAGAATGGAGAAAAAAAATTCATATCTCTAAGAATCAAAACATCTCCCTCTGCAATTTCCATAAGTAATTTCCCCCTTGTTCAGTTTGAAATTGTAATAATAAAAATCTCTGTATTTCATCCTAAATCAGTTTTTCCAAATCCCACAATAAGTTTCTGATGTATATAACTACTCCATTTTTATATCCCCAGAGGCCACATTTTTGACTTAAGCTTTGCATTCTAGCAAATTAACAGTCTTTTTAACATGTCTCTTGAAGACTTATCTTTTTCCTTTTTTTAATTTTTTGAGAAGAACTTTTTCATTTTAAATGGGCTATTCAGTCAGTTAATGTTTGTTCAGAATATTTTGATTTGATCCATGATGTCACTTATCAATGACATTTATGAAAGGAGAGCTACTGTTTTATCAGTTTTTTATCTCTTTTTGTTCTGAATTATTTTTTGGCTTGTTCTGCTGCTGTTAATGGCTCAAGCATATTGTTAACATCCACTGTTGAGTGTATTAAGGGTTTGCTGCCATCTATAAAAATTCCACACAAAATGGAGTAGCCCACCTGTTGAGGCTGAACATGGATTCTTCTGCCTAAAAAGCATGTGCTAGATTACTGAGGTAAAGTACTGATGAAAAGTTAACATGTGAAGAATTGAATAACAATCCTTGATAAGCCTTGCAGAGCTGCTGTGAGGAATACTCTCAGCATCTGCCAGACAGAATTGGATTCTGGCTGGACAGATCCTTTGGAAGTGACTGAGGCATGATTGAGCCTTTTATCTGGGAGAAATTTGAGTTGGTTGATCCTGAGGAAGTGAACAGAGTCCTCGTGGCTGTGAGCTTGGCCATCTGTGTTCTGGACCCATGCCCCTTCTGGTTGGTTAAGGCCTCCTGGGAGGTGGCTAGGTCCAAGATGTGGTTAATGCCTCTCTGCAGAAGGGAATGGTACTGCCTGCCTTGAAGGAGGCAGTGGTGTGTCCCTTCTCAAGAGGCCATCCTTGGATCCAGTTGTGTTAGACAACTTTCATCCAGTCTCCAACCTCCTCTTTTTGGGGAAGATTATTGAGAAGGTGGTTGGCACTCAGCTTCAGAGGGCCCTGGATAAAGCAGATTATCTGGACCCTTTTCAGTGTGGGTTCAGGCTGGGATACAATACTGAGATGGCATTAGTTGTGCTTCCAGATAACCTTTAGAGGACTCAGGGTGGGGAATGGTGCAACTGTCTTGGCATTCCTGGATCTCTCAGCAGCGTTTGATACCATGATATTCTTCTGGACCAGCTTCGGGGGTTAAGAGTGGGAGGACTGCATTGCGGTGGTTCTCCTCCTTTCTCTATGGCCAGTTCCAGTTGGTGTGCGTGTATGTGGGGGGGAGAGGTTGAGCCCTAGGTCCCTGCAGTGAGGGGTGCCTCAGAGGTCGGGTCTCTCACCTCTCCTCTTTAATATCTACATGAAACCACTGGGTGAGGTCATTTAATGGCATAGAGTGTGGTATCATCATTATGCTGATGATAGCCAGTTATGCAGTACATCTCCACCCCAGGCTGGGTAGCTGATGGAGGCTGTGAGAGTCTGGATGTAGAGGAACTGACTTCAACTCAATCTTGGCAAGATGGAGTGGCATTAACTTTTGGCCACCCAGGGTCTGGTGATATGTCAACTTTGACTCTGGATGGGGTTGCGCTCCCCTGGACTGAGCTGGTTTGCAATTAGGCGATCCTTATGGATTTACAGCTCGTGCTTGAGGAGCAGGTAGCAGCTGTAGGTAAGGGGCCTTTGCACAGATTCACCTTGTGTGCCAATTGCACCTTTTCCTGCACTGGGAGCCCTTGCTCACAATCAGTCACACCTTGATCACTTTCTGTTTGGCTTACTGCAATGCACTCTACATGGCTGCATTCTGCCCTTGAAGACCCCCTGAGTGCTATAATTGGCCCAAAGTGTGGTGGTGCATGCAGTGTGGGGTGCTCCTAATTTTGTCCACATTATACCCTGTTGCACATGCTGCACTGGCTCTCAGTTTCTTTCCAGGTGCAATTCAAATTGCTAGTTATCATGGGACCAGGTTATTTGTGAGTCTGCCTCTTCCTGAGAGTATCTGCCCATCCCACCAGATTGAATAGGGTAGCATGCTCCAGATCCCTTCCCTGAAATGCTGGCTTCTAGCAGGACCTTTTCTGTGGGTACCCCTACCTTGTGGAACACCCTTCACCTGGGCGATCTGGGAGGCCTCCAACCTTTTAGCCTTCCAGAAGGCCATCAAGACTTGGGGTCTTTACCCAGTTGCTCGAGTAGAGTGATGGTGTCTGTGGATGGTTGTGGTGGCATCCTAGGAGGATGACCGAGGCACTGGGTTTTTAATTTTTTGTTTTTTGCTGGTTTTATGATTTATATGGTTTTGTGGTTTTCTTGTTGTGAACCTCCCAGAGTTGTGCACCTCCCAGAGTTGTGCTTTAAGATGGGTGGCCCTACAAATCTTTTAAATAAATAAATATTCATTTGATGAACAAAAGTGTAAGATAACTGTAGCTGCATAACTAGTTTAGACCAATTTGGTATTTTAATAGTTAAGTCTCTAATCAAAAGCTGATTTTCCTTCAAAGATTTGTTTTTGTTCATTTTTTTCATTCTCTTAATGCTTTGAAGGGTGGGTGTTCAGGAATACAAACTTTTTAAAGCATTTTTCCCAATCTTGATGATAGAGATACATTTGAGCTTTCTGTTTCTCCGTGTGTGTCTTTTTCAGTAGTAGCAGCTGTTCATGCCATTTCAGTAACAGGACCTTCAAAGGCAGTGGAAGCAAGAAAAGGACAGAGTGCCACCCTGCCATGTACCTTTGAAAGTTCCTTTACTAAAGAGAAATCAGATTTTGTCTCTTGGCGGGGAATATCCCTGGGAAGCAAATATCAGGTAAGATATATACTGTACATATATGTTTGTGGAGAAAGTATGGCTGAGTGAGGAAACAGATGTTTTGAGGAAATTAAGAATCTTCTCTGACCTTTATTAAGCAAGTTCCGATTGGAGGAAGTATCTTTCAGATAAACTGGTACTATATTACACAGAAGCTTACAAGGCAAAGCCAGTTCTCAGTTTGAGCTCAGAAACAATTGGAAGTCAATATAGTTGATTCAGGACTGGAGAGTTGTCCTCTTTAAAGTGCATGCTAAATGCTACTGTAGTCTGGCAACCATTTTTTTCACTATTTGATTTGTCCAGACTCTGCTCCAGGGTCACCCCATGTAGAGTACATGACAGTCATTGAAATAAGAGACCATTAAGTCATGAATCCCTGCCCTCTGATATACCTGAGAAGGACAGGTCTAGAGTAGTAAGGAGATACTTCTACCCAAAGCAGCTCCCTGTTCTTCCAGGAGTGATGCTAAGATTACCCCAAACTGCAGATCTTTTCCTTCAGAGGAAGTTCACAGACATGTAGAGCAATCTGTTCCACCAAATCCAGACTGTCTTATGTACTGGCCACAAGAAAACCTCCATTTTATACAGTATATTATGAGCCTCAGCTTGTTAATCCATATCCAGTTCCTTACTGTATTCAAGCAATGATTTAGGACAGAGGTGCCTTCTCTTTTTTTCAGCGGGAGGCTGTATTTTATTATTTTCTGCCTCCAAAAACAACTTATGAGACAAACATATGTTGAGGAAAATTAATGATGATGATCTATCATTATTATCAACTTTTGCCCTTTTCCTTTCTCTCCTAAAAAAAGTAGGAAACTGTCTTATTCCTGGTAAAATAAGTCTAGTTTTGTCTACTTTGACTACTTTCAGAATTTCAGATTCAAAGACAAAAAGGTACCTCAGAGCACATGGAGGCAAAAACGTAACATCAGTCTGCAGCTAATGCAGCCACAACTTCTAAAAATAACAGCATTGGTGACATTGGCAAGACTGAGTTTCACCAAAGAACAGGGCAAGGAGATCATGGGTACTTTTTGATGAAATTTTTACTTTAAGTTCCCTGCCATTCACAGCAGGGTTCAGGCATCATCAATTTCCTTTCCAAACCCTTTCCAAACCCATTTCCTTTATATCACTTCTTCTTTTTCTTGTGGTACAGCAATTAAGGTGTTAAAACTAGGATAGGGGACATGAGCTTCTGGAGAAAAAGCAGGATAAAAATCTAATAAACAAGCAAATAAATAAATATGCTCTCAAATGAAGTTCAACTCCTGATGGCAAAAGAATATCCAGAAGGAAAACTGTACAGTGCTTTTTAAATTTTAGCATTAAGAGTATCTGGGTGAACGTCTTGAAAATCCATTGGAGTAGGTTTTTTTAAAAAAGAAATAAATAAATCTTGGAGCACAATCTCCTTTTCAATATCTTCCATATTCAAAATACAGCCAGATGTAGCTGTGTGCTGCTGAAGAGAGACTCAAATTTGTTTGACCATTAGATATATTGGATATTTTGCGAATGTATCGAACTTCCTGGGGAGTAATGGCAGATTCAAGATGGCTCCATTTTTGTGGAGCTGATGGCCATGGCAGATAAGAGGAGCCAGCGGAGCCAGCTTTTCAGAACCATTTCTGGACAAAGGAGGTGACTGGATCACCTGCAAGTATTCCTTACAGAGGATCCCTGTGAAGAGATTGCATATTAGCGATCGCCAGTGGGTTGAGTGCTCTGGGAGCCACGGGAAACATCGAGCCCAACCCGCAGTTCAGAGCCTTCAAAAGGACACTAAATCGCATACACTTCCTCTTTTAATTGACAGTGGAAACTACTTATTATCAATTTATTCAGAAATTAAAAACCTTTCGAAGGGCAAGTTGCTGCACACCAGGAGTATTTCCTTCTATCCTTGAAGAAAGAAGATTTAAATACATTTAAAGATTAAAAAGAAAAAAAAAATCTTTGGGAAAATAGTACAAGGGAGTTTAGAATGTTGACTGGGGACAGTTAAGGGGCCAGACAGGTTTAAAAGAATAGTTTTTATGGACTATTTTAAATTTTATAAATTTTATAAAAAA